GGAGAACATCTCAGATGAGCATTTGCACAGCTTCGAAACACAGCCACACAGCTCAGATGCACCTCTACACAAAGATGCTGCAAATCCAGCCATGGGTCCACCGTACTCGAGTATGTATGACTGGACCCTGCTTGATAAAGTCGGGAATGGGAAGCCATTTTCTAAATGGGAGTCGGATGATGTTGTGGGTTATGAGTTTGAAAGCCTTGTGGAGGCTGGCAAGTTCTATTCAAGTTATGATTGTGCCATGGGATTTAGCGTACGAAAGAACACTCACACATATTCAAAATATGGAGTTAGAAATATGCAGCGATGGGTTTGCTCACGCGAGGGGGAGCGTCAGCCAGTGCGCAATGGACAAGGAGAACAGAAAGCGTGAACCTAGGCCTGTAACAAGGCTCCATTGTCCGGCTGCTTTCAAAGTCAGTTTTGTTGAGGCAACTAACCGATTCAAGGTGAAGCAGTTTGTACCAACACATTTTCATCACTTAGCTGGAGCACATGAAGTGCAGTTTTTGAGTTCTCATTGCAAGGTAGATGACGCAAGTAAGGCTCAGATTCGTTCACTTAGGGCTGCTGGTGTTCGTACCAATCAAATCATGGATTATCTAGTGAATTGTGCGGGAAGCTTTCAGAACTTGGGTTTCACTAAGACCGATGTCTACAATTTTGTTAGTGCGGATCGGAGGTCGGAGATCTTGGATAGTGATAGTGAAGCTTCACTTGCCCACCTACAAGCACGGGCAACTACCGATCCTTGATTTTATTGTAGATATACAGTAAGTGATGGTGGTGAACTAGGCAATATGTTATGGGGTGACTCTACTTCACAATTGGATTATAGTCTCTTTGGAGATGTTCTTGTTTTTGACTCGAAGTACAATACTAATGCATATAATCTTCCATTTCTTCTATTCATTGGTGTGAATATTCACAATGCAAGCACTATTTTTGCATGTGCTTTACTTGCGGATGAAACGACGGAGAACTACGTATGGATTCTAAATGCTTTTTTACATTGCATGGGTGGTAAGAAGCCAACCGCAGTTATAACAGATGGTTGTTCTTCAATGAGGAAAGCTATCAAGTCGGTTCTCCCTGGATCCCGACATCGGTTATGTTCTTGGCACTTGGGCAATAACGCAGAAGCGTGTGGTCATGCGGAAGGCTTTCGGGAGGATTTCAAACAATGCATGCTAAACTGCAGTTCTATTCCACAATTTGAAGCTACGTGGAAGGAAATTTTGTCCAAGTATGACCTAGAGCACAATGCGTGGATGATGAAGATGTATAGGGGACGAGCTCTATGGGCCAAAACTTACTTGAAAGGTACTTTCTTTGCTGGGATGATTACGTCACAACGTTGTGAGAGCATGAACTCTTATCTAGACAAATTCTTGCAAAGTAAAATGAAGTTGTTTGAGTTTGTCAAGCAGTTTGACATGGCACTTTTGTATAGGAGACAAACTGAGTTACATGACCAGTTTAAGACAATACATACTAATGTTGTTTTGATGACACATTTACATGAAATTGAAAGACATGCCTCTATAGTATATACAAGAAATGTGTTCAGGAGCGTTCGAGCAGAAATAGCGAGAGAAGTTCATTACTATATTACAGACAAGTGTGTGTTGACCAATAAAAAAATTTACACATTGTCACGATTCAAATACCCTGACTCAAAGTGCACCGTGGTCTCTTACACGAGTGGATATGATGTGCATTGTTCTTGTGGCATTTTTTAGTTCTGCGGAATTCCATGTCGGCATATATTCTGTATATTGAAAGCAGAAAATCAAATACAAATTCCAAAGTCACTCATTTTGAAGCGTTGGACTAAAGATGCAAAAGAGTTCGATCCCTCGAGTATGGGAAGCTGTCCTACCCATCAAAATATTAGCAGGTATTATAAATTTAAGCTGTTGATTTAGTTCTTTGTTTACTTCTATTGTGTTTGGAACAAACTACAAAAGTGCTTATTTATTTGGACAGGTTTGGATTTTTGGTTGGTCAATGTAGTAGAATGTGCCATTATGCTGTGAGTTCGGATGAAGCATTTCATACTGCCAAAGGTTTGATTGAAGACTTGACCTTGCGAGTGAAGACAATAAGTGAAGAAACAACCATCAAAACAAATAATGCTACTACGGATGCTGGAGTGAACTCCTCTCAGTTTATTAAGGATCTCCATCCAGTTCGAAGTAAAGGGAATGTGAAGCAACCTCAAGTGAAAACACGGTTGTGCAAGTATTGTAGGCGTCCTAAACATACAATCAGAAATTGTCCGCTGAAAAGAATGGCTGAAGCAGGTGCAGGTGGTAGTCATTTCACGCAACAAGAATACAACTTTGAGTCCATAGGAGCAGGTGAAAGTAGCTTTCATGTGGAGACTCAAGAATCTGTTCTACTTCCCAAACGATCCAAGCACAACCAGTAATGCTGGCGTTCGGCTTCAAACAACATTATGTTTCATCTTGTAATGTTTGTTTTGTGCAAGTTAGTATCTAGTGATATTGAATGGATCTATGTAATGCTCGTGTCTAGCTTCAAAGAACATAATGACTCATCTTTTCATAAGCTTGTAGTTTTCAAAAACAGTATATTATGTTTCTTACACCATTATAATAAGTACAGGGGTTAGTTCTACAGGTGAATGTCTGTGCAGACTATTTCTGGAAATCTCACGGCCAATTCTGGAAATCTCATGGCCGTGAAAGCAGGCGTGTTTTTGGATTTGAAATTCTGGAAATATCACGGCCGTGAGAAAGGCCGTGAGAGAGACCGTGGATGTAAAAATGCACTTCTCAGTTTCCCCGGGGTTTTCACGGGTTGGCTTCGACAATATCACGATCGTGAGATGAGCCGTGTTTTTGGATTTGAAATGCTGGACTTCTCACGGCTCATCTGTAAATTCTCACGGGCGTGAGACTAACCCGTGAGATGTTCGCAGCTGAAATCCAAAAACACGCCTCATAACTGAAATATCACGGGCGGGAGATGTACAGTTAGATTTTTTTTTAAAAAAGGGGGGAAGTTCCAGGGGTTTTCACGGGTTGGCTTCGACATTATCACGGGCGTGAGATGAGCCGTGTTTTTGGATTTGAAATGGTGGACTTCTCACGGCTCATCTTTAAATTCTCACGGGCGTGAGAATAAGCCGTGATATGGAAACCACTCCTAATTTCTCACGCCTCATAACCAATGTCTCACGGCCGGGAGAGGAACCGTTAAATTAAAAAAAAAAAAAAGCGTCCCAAGGAGTTTCACGGTTTTGATTTGGTAATATCCCGCTCGGGATAAGGAGCCGTGAGATGGGAATCCTAAAAACTAACCTATGCTATATTAGAATTTGAAACCCCCCCCCCCCTTATATTGTTCGAACCCTCTTCTCCCTCTGTTCTACTTCGACCCCCAACCCTCGCCCTCGCTCGCCATCGCCCTCGCCCTCGCTCGCCCTCGAAGATTCTTCCACCGCCTACCACATCCCCACGACTCGTCCTCCTGGTAACTGCTCCAAGGTTCAGCGGCAACGGCGACCATTTCCCCACGATTCCCTGCCCTCTGTTCCACTTCGATCCCCACAAGGCCTCTGGTGAGTTCTTCTTAACCACAACGGCACTCTTCTCTGGTTTCTTGCATTTTTTAGGGTTTAGTTGCCCAAGGTTGGTATGAATTAGGGTTTTGAATTCCTTATCATCGATTTTCTTAGTGCATTCTGATTGTCATGCGGCCCGTGCCTTTGAATAGTTGCCCAAGGTTGGTCTGAATTAGGGTTTATTATCGTGGAAAAGGTACTTGAAAGATTGTTTGAAGGATGCAAGTCCATGGGAGAGGAACTGCAGGAACTACAAAATGTGTACATTGTAAATATTTTCTTAGTGCTGACTTAACTGTTCTTTACTTGCTAACTAGAATCGGTATCCGAAATGGGGCTAACTTGGTGCTGATTGGTTTGCATTCTGAATTGCAAGTGATTTGACTCTTTGAAGTATCAGTTTTATTGGCGCCAGAGTATGTAGAATTGTTCAAGCTTGTTAATTGCTGTCTGCTGGACTACACTTGATCAAGGTTCAAGAAAGCGCTAGGCGTAAGGCAGGCGTTGGTCTCCTGACTAGCGCCTAGCTTGATTAAGCGTCGCCTAGCCGTTCGAAGAAAATTTGAAAAAAAATCTCATAATTTTTAGTATTCTAGAGTAACTTCATATGATAACAACAAGCAAGTAGTGCCCATTTGTCCATAAAGTTAATAGAAAGTAGAAACACTAAACAGTAAGCATATAAAAACAAGATCATTCCTCATCATCCAAATAGATCCGTCCAGCCACCACTTCATCTTCATCATCTTCAAAGGCAATCTCCTCACCATCTTCTTCTTCCTCCTCCTCTTCGGACTCAAATTCTTCATCATGGAGCTCTCTCACTCTTGCACTCCTGCGAAGCTCAAGTTGTTCACTAGCCATTGCATCTGTAACTCCACTCAAGGGTGGACCATCTGCTTCCTCATCCTCATCCATGAACACATACATAGCATGATCATCTCCTCCCTCAAACAGGAAACCTTGTGCTTCAGTTGCATCAGTACTTAGGAGAATATCAATGTTCTTCTTCACTTTTATCCTCTTCTTCTTGGCCATCAACCTCGAGTTGAACTGTATGTACACTAATTGATTGAGACGATCTGTTGAAAGTCTATTCCTTCTCTTGGTATGTATCTACAAGTAAAACATTGCAATGCATCAAGAATTTAGAATATGAAATATGAATATGCTCTATGGAATATAGATAGAGAATTAAATACTTACCGACTCAAAGGTACTCCAATTTCTCTCACAGCCAGAAGAACTTGAGGTCAATGAAAGGATCCTCATAGCCATCTTCTGTAAGTTTGGTGTATCAACTCCATACATTCTCCACCAAGCCACTAGGCAAAACATTGATAACTAAATTAGAGTTATGAATAACTAGAAAGATAAATCAAAGGTACGAAGTAATAGTGTACTAACCAGGATTGTAATCAAAGTTCTGACAAGTCCTTGCAAGCTTCTTCCCGAATGTGCCTTCTTTCTTTTGAAATTTCTGAAATTCATAGTTCACAACCTGATCTTGCGTGTTATCATCACCACTATAAAATGTCTCAACACAATCCACGAATGATGTAGTAATGTTTCCATCATCAAAGATAGACTCATCAACATAGCTATAATGTGGATTCAACATATATGCAGTGCAATGCAATGGAGCATCAAGTCTTCCTTTCATCTTCTTGTCAACAATGCTCATGACTTCTTTGTAGCGAATTTCCACATTGCTAAATGCCTCTTTGATCTCCCTCTTTGGCTTCACAATTTCTCCATATACAAAACCCATGGATGGTTTGACATCTGCATCAACCAAACGAAGAACTCTTACCAATGGCTCAAAAACCTTCAAGCAAAGGTGAACACCTTTCCAAAAAGTGTTATTTAGCACTGTTGATGTTGCATCTTTGCCCTTCTTTGTGTGTACATCTTTCAAGCTCTCCCACTTTGTATCCACTACCATCTTCCTCAGTGCATCCTTCTTATCCATTAAGCTTTTCAATGTGAGATATTGAGAAGCAAAACGGGTACTCCCGAGCTTATGATTTCTCTCTTCTTGGTGAAGAACCTCATACCTTCCAATGTACGGTGATGCCCATAAATGAAGATAGTAAAACTCTTAGCTTGATCAATTACCTTCTTGAACTTTGGCGAGTTGCCAATTCCTTGAAGCATCAAGTTGATTGTGTGAGTTGCACAAGAGCTCCAAAAAATATTTGGCATTTTCTCCAACAAGAGTTTCTTTGATCCCATATTATTGGAAGCATTGTCGGTCGCAACCTGCACCACATGTTCAGCACCTAACTCCTCGATTGTTTTGTCCACTAGGTTGAAGATGACCTCACTTGTGTGTGACACATCTGATGTGTCCTTTGACTTAATGAAGCTTGTTCCCTCAGCACAATGTGTGACTAGGTTCATTATGCTTCTTCTCTTCATATATGTCCATGCATCAGTCATAATAGAGCAACCATTCCTCATCTTCTCATCATCACGATCCTTGAGAAAACTTTTTGTTCTTGCATATTCTGATTTCAGCATAGGCTCTCTAAGATCATACTGAGTAGGAGGTATAAATCCAGGGCCAAACTGACCAATAGCCTCACACATTTGCTTGAACTCATCATTATCTATTGCATTGAATGGTACAGCTGCAAAAATAAACACACAAGTTAATCATAAAAAGGAAGATACACTAAATAGAAATTAAAGCATATTGTTTACCATGTGTATACACCCATCTTGCAACATATTGTTGCACTTCACTTGAAGTGTTCTCTCTTCCCGAAGTGCTTTGTTTAATTTTTGTTGATGAAGTGCCGCAGATGAAGACAACTTAGGATCAATAGTACGTGCCCACTTATCCATAGGCCCTAACTTGTGAGGTTCTGAGCTACCAACACAAGTCATTTCTTCATCTTGTTGTCCAGTGGAAACAATCACATAATCTCTTAATTGTCGTTCACGGGCAGCCTTATCTTCATTCTTTTTTGCATTTTTCTCCATAGCTTTCAAGCATGCTTCTTTAGCTTCTTGTGTGGCCTTGGTGCATTTAAGCACAGTACTTGCATTTTGAGCAATGTGTTGCTTGAAAGGAAAGATTCCTCCAGTACTTTCATGGCCACAAAAATTGCACCGCACCTTATCCTTGTTGTTAGGATCCACCAATCTCTCATATTCCCAACCAACATCACCAGATTTCCTCTTAAAAACATTGGTATTCTCTTTATTTGTCACTGCTGTCATTGAAGCATTAGCATCATCCATTGTGGAATCTAGTATAGATAAACCTGCTATAGAAAAAAATTTGATAAACAATTGGGAAATCATGATTAGAAAAGGACAAGCATCCTATTGCCTAATATATAGGCTAATAGCCTAGCATTAATTTAGGTTTCACAAATAATTATTCTAGTCTAGCTAGTAGCAGAGGTTTAATTAAAACTTCAAACAAATCATGAATAAAAAGGCATATGATGTACAGAAAAGTGGCTGGGGAACCAATAAGTGGGGTCGGATTCTACAACACATTCAAACAAAAAGAAAATATATTTTATTTCGAGCAAGTGAATGAATAAGGGAATTATTTGGCAGAATGCGTCTCAAATTCCCATATATGTTTCCAAGTGTGGGGTTCTACTTAGCTTGATTTTGTATATTTTAATCAAGGAAATATTTAGTATTCCAGTTTAGCTCTTGCGTCCCCAACCACTAGAAGAAAGCATCAACCAAAGAAGTAGCAGCTCCCCTTTCTAATAATGATTATCAAAACTCCCACACCCATCCAACCACCAGTTTCCCCTCTGTAATTCACGGTAGCAAGCAAGAATCACCGACCGAGAAGAAAGAGAGAGGCAGAGGACTTACCAACTGCAGCAAAATGCGAGCTCCTCCAAGTTTCTCTATCAACGCCTGCCGGCTGAAGGGAGAAGAAGTAGCAGCTGGAGCCTGGAAGAGAAACAGGGATGAAGGGCGAAGGTGTAGCAGCTAAAGCTCGGGAGAGGAAGAGAGACGGCGAAGGCTGTTGGTTTCCTGTGGTCGTGGGTATCGATTTCCAATTGAATAATTAATTCTCATTTTCTAAACTTAGCAACCAACGAGAGATGGAAACGACAGCGTAGGGGTTGAGATGGATAGCACCTAGCAATAACTTAGCAAGCCTAGGCGGCCGCTTAGTCTCACTCGGCACCGCTTAGGCGCTATTAAACAAATTTAAGCGCCCCCAGCGCTTTGTTGAGCGCCTATGCCCAAAGTGAAGCGTTCTTCCATTGCCCAGCGCTTAATTGAGCCTAGGCGTGCGCCTAGGCGTGATTTCTTGAACCTTGCACTTGATTTTGCTCATGGCCTTTGATTATTCTCGGGGTAGTACGTAATCTGATCTGATAGTGCTTCACGGATTAACTTTTTCTATTCTTAGGAATTCTTGTGTTTGTTATGGGGTGTTTAAGATTTCATCTTAGTTTGACATAGTAATGTGCTACTTGATCAAGGAATTGATGGTGTAGACGTGATTAGAATACTCCTGGGATCTTCTCCCTTGACATCACATTGAGTATTCCACCTCGTCAATCTCTAAGGAAGGAAGCAAGGAGAACAAATTTTCCAAGCTGGATACTATCCTTGAACAAGGAAGGAAGCAAAGAGATGGAGATCGAAATACAGAGAGAGATCAAAATACAGAGAGAGATTGAAATGCAGAGAGATCGAAATGCATAGAGAGAAGTTTTGAGTGGGAGGGATGCAATGGGTGAAAGACCCCTGACCAAGGATTGTAGCGAGCTTTGAAAATTTGTTCTGTCTGGTATCAGCCCAGCTCCAAGGGGAATTACAGTAGTAGAGGATACCTTGGAGATCGACGAGGATGGAATACTCAAAGAGACATCGAGGGAGAAGTCTGTACGTCTATATCTTCCAGTATCTTGGTTGAAAACTGGAATGCATACCATATTCCTTGATTTGTGAATTGTTTATGCTTATGCACAATTCTTTTCCCTCTCATTTACTAAAGACTAAATGTGCTTAGTTGGTTTTTGTAGGAATGGGTCGAGCTAAACAAAAAACCACGCAACCATCCGCCTCACCTGCCAAAGTGAAGGCTCCTTCTCGTCGTCGCCACCAAACCCAACAACGAGACACTCCACCCAAACGACAACGCAAAAACAACCAAGGACGGACACGTCAACCATCTCCACCACCACCACCACCACAACCGAAGGCTCAACTTGGAGGAGAGGGACTGCACGACTTCCTCCAACTACCCGACAAACATAGGGGGGCTTTGGAACGCTTCCTTCCCCTCCCATTTGGGCAGCAAAGATGCCTTGATTGGGATCTCCTCGAGCGCCTCGGAGCAGCGGACTCCGTTCGCACATGCCTCCATCTCCCGGCATGGTGTGAGGTTCTCTCCATCAATGAGGTCATCTACCGAGAGCTTACCATTGAGTTTCTCAGTACTCTCTCCATCATGTTTCTAACCGACTTCAACCTCGACAACCCCAAAAACAACATAACTTTTCGCCTTGGAGGACAGGCGAGACAGATGAGCACCACTGAGTTCACTGAGGTACTCCAGATATACCCACCAGGGTTTCTCACCACAGATGGACATGGTTTGATTTCGGAGAAAATATATCCACCAAGAGCACCATTGGTCGATGATATGTGGAGTACGTTGAAACGAAGCCATGTGCCAAAGTCTGACACTGCCCACTATAAAGGGAATGATCTTCTTCCCCCATGGCGTATCATCCACAACATCATCGCTCACTCTATGGTAGCTAGGGAGGGGAGCCCGGGGAGTGTGACCAAGCGGGATTTGAACTTTTTCCTCTCTATGGTTCAAGATCCTCCATTCATCTTGGTTTAGTCATACTGAAAACCCTACCGAAGATGACCTCCAACAAACAAATCAAGACCATCTATGGAGGTGCCTACATCACAAGGCTAGCACGCCATTTTGGCATTGATCCGGGGGGTTCTCATTGCACCATTGCCCAGTCCACTCAACCAATCTCCCAAAAAAACCTTGCGGATCTATATTTGTTGAAAAAGGTAAATGTTTCAACCAACACTTTCCTTTTCACAGTAAATGCTAAAACAGAACTAGTTTAGATTCTAAAAATCTAGGATTGATTTTGTGCAAGTTTTGGATTGCCTACTAATCTAGTTCCTTTTGAACATTGAGCAAATGTAATTAATACTTCTGATATTGATCATGTATGTGTTTGGTGGTTAAGGAGAATGGTGTGCTAGGCATTGTTGGCCTCCCTCATCCTGCTCCTCCTCTTGCAACTCAAGAGGCAAACGCATCGGAGCATGTTGTTCAGCAAATGGTCGAGGAGACTCCGGAACAACCTGCACAACATCACCAAACTACGACTCAAGCCGGACCATCCACCAACACATACATATCCCATTTGGAGGCATTGGGTCGACAGAATCCCAAATTCTGGAGCAAAATGCACTCATTCTATCTCGCCTCGATCGAGAGAAGGAAGCTCGACGCTACATCATCAAATGCAACCATCACATCATGAGTTCCTTGAGGATTGACTACAAAAAATTCCCAAGACCTTGGGAACTATCTTCTACGCCAACCGAGGAAAGCGATAAAGTGGGAAGTGAAGAGGATGACGAGGGTAATGACGATGAGCAAAACAAGGAAAGCAGTAAAGAGGACAATGGAACCAATGAGGAAGAGGGCAGTGAAGAGGATGACGAGAGAAATGATGATGACCAAAACAAGGAAAGAAATCAAGAGGACAAAGGGACCAATGAAGAAGAGGGCAGTGAAGAGGACGACGAGGGTAGTGGTGATGAACAAAACAAGGAAAGAAATCAAGAGGACAGAGGGACCAATGAGGAAGAGGGCAGTGAAGAGGACGACGAGGGCAATGGCGATGAACAAAACAAGGAAAGAAATCAAGAGGACAAATGGAAAAATGAGGAAGAGGGCAGTGAAGAAGACGACGAGGGCAATGGCGATGACCAAAACAAGGAAAGAAATCAAGAGGACAAAGGGACCAATGAGGAAGAGGGCAGTGACTCTAGCGATGTCAATGAAGATGAGCAAATGCAGGAAAACAATGACGAGGACGAGAACAATGACTAGGAAGATGGGCAATGAAGATGAGCCAACCAAAGTCCTTAGTACTTAGCTATGTGTGTTTGCATTTGTGCTTGTATGTTTTCTAATAAGAATATGATGATGCACCGGTGTGGGCTACATGCAGCTAAACTTAAGCATTAATTAGACAGATTTAATCGAATTATGGATGCTTGTTTTATTAGACAACTGTAATTCTTTGACTGCTTTTTACTTTTTGTTAACAGGGTATCTCATCTGATATGATGTACGGTTACTAGAGAACAATGTTAATGGATCTATGTAATGCTCGTGTCAAGCTTTAGGGAACATTATGAATCGTCTTTTTCATAAGTTTGAAGTTCTGGAAAAAAGTCCATTCTGTTTGAAACACCATTATAATAAGTACATGGGATAGTTCAACAGGTGAAAGTCTCCTACTGGAAATCTGACACCTTATACTGGTAATCTCACGACCGTAAAATACTCAAGTGAGATGTAAAAAGCAGTTCTCACTATCCCAGGAAATTTCACGGCTACTACTTGACATTGTCACGCCCGCCAAAATCTCACGTGAAATTGAAACACACAGCTGCCACTTAAACGTTCTCACAGCTCATTCTGGCAAAATAACAGCCGTGGAATTAAGATGTACCTAGACTTTCTAGAGTTGCACCTTTACACTAAACTTAAAGTTGTCCCTACACTTTCCTAAAAATCTTCTATGGTACAATTCACAATTGTACATATACATTATGATACAACTTAATGTTGTACCTACACTATCTAACAAATCCCTGTATGGTACAACTCAAAATTATACCTATACTTGTGGTACAACTTTACGCTGTACCTACACTTTCTAACAAATCTCTCTATGGTACAACTAAAAATTGTACCTATACTAATGGTACAACCTTAAGTTGTACCTACACTTTCTCAATATTCTTCTACGGTACAACCCAAACTTGTACCTATACTATGGTACAACTTTAAGTTGTACCTACACTTTCTCAATATTCTTCTACGGTACAACCCAAACTTGTACCTATACTATGGTACAACTTTAAGTTGTACCTACACTTTCTAACAAATCCCTCTATGGTCCAACTCAAAATTGTACCTATTCTT